CATAGCGTGGTTGTCCGGAAGGTCACTCAGATGGTCGTTCTGCTGTTTGGTTGATTTGCATGTTATTTTATCATTATAAATGTCTTCCATTTTACACGCTGACAAAACGCATGTGGAGCAGTTTCCATGCGGTACTCACATCAAGGTTGAACGCAAACTTGTCATTGGGCCGCGTTTTAGGGCCAGTGCACTTATGCAAGTAAAGGCTGTAGAGACCCTCCTGCTCACTGGTGCTGACGTTAAAGGAGAACTGAAAGCGAAGGAGAAAAAATTACAGGCGCCCGAGCCCTCAGCTAAGCTTTAAGTCTGAGAAAGAAGTCATGAACACTATGGACAGAACAAAAGATAGCCTTCAAGAAATCAGATTCTCCCAGGGCAGAATTTAAAGATGTTTTCTTGTTCTATGATTCCCTCCCAAAGTTGTTATAGCAACTTTCAAGCTAACAGAAAAGCTGACAAAATTATACAGCAAATACCTATATACCCACTACCGAGGTTCCACAATGAACGTTTTACTATCCTTGCCTTACCACACATCTATCCACTGGTGATGGACTTTGGCAGAAGTCTTCCAAGGCAACCTGAGAAAATGCAGTTATCTAGTTTTCAAGCCAATGTATTATATTTAGGTAAAAATACTCCTGACAACTGAAGGAGGTTCATTTAATACTTGACAAGGTAAGGAACCAATATTCCACCCTGGTCAATGTGGCTCAGTTGGTTGGGCGTCATCCCATGTACTGAAGGGTTGCCAGTTGGATTCCCGGTCAGGGCACATGCCAGAGTTGTGAGCTCAATTTTGGGTAGGGAATATATAGGAGGCAGCCGGTAATGTTTTCTTTCACACTGATGTTTCTGTCCCTGTTCCTTCTGCTCTCTCTAAAAACCAATTACAAATCCTTTAAAAACAAAACAATTTTCCCTCATTAAAATTTACACCTGTGATTTTAAGCAACAGTAATAAATGCTGCATTTTCTATATTCAGACATGTTTTCCTTATATTTCATGTATCCAAATGAAGTTTAATGTAAATCAAAAGAAACCACACATGTATCTAAGATCATAGAAGCAACTCCGGAGTCTACCCTAGAGAAGTGTTCTATAAGCCTAAATTATGTGGCTTCGGGCTACGTAGACAGACGGTAAACTATAAAGAAAGGTGGGGATATGATTACAGCATTTTCTCCACGAGCGGGTTACTCTAGGGCTGGGAAGGGCATGGAGTTCGTGAGGCACTAGCATGATTTCATCTCTTGTCCCAGTGACGGTTACACCGGTGACTACTTACAGCTATTTGTATTCATCCCCAATCTGGGCACTAACGCTCTCCTGTACACACTATACCTGACAATTTAACAGGCGGGGAGGAAAAACAGACACCTAAGAAGAAGCTGGAAATAAAAGGCCAAGAATATTCAAGTTGAAATTGTTAAACCACGTCCCAAACTCATCCTTGTGAACGTCGGACGTGTGTTTTAGTCCACACAGGTAGCCAGAATAGAAAATGTTTCTAAACATATTAACTTCCTAGTTCTCAAAGACTCAGATGAAGTTAAGAAATATTTTAAAAAATCAATAGAATTATTAAAGAGATCAGAGTTGGCACTTGATCCTTAAGGAGAAAACAAAAATAAAGCAAAAATGTAAATTTTCGAGTTGGAATAAGCTCCGACAGTTGCTTTCCTGCTCTGGGGATGAACGATCATCCTTGTTCTGTGGATGGAGCAGAAAGGCTCAGGTGACTTCACTGTGCAAAATGGGGAGAACACTGGGTAGGAGAACAGGAAGGAGTCACCTACGACTCCTTCGCAAGGAGAGGGGAAGCGGACAAAAGGCAAGCAGCCCGGCACTGCCTGTTTTATGCATCCCGGGGACCCTATGAACCGGCCATTTCCACCCATGTTCTCATCAGCAGTGCCCGCTGCTTTGCCCTGACACTCACCTGACACACGCATTAGTAACTGACAATCTATACATCCGATATGCTTTCCTTTTGAATTACTTTTTAAAGGCTTTTTACAAAAACATTCAAAACACTGATTTTATGAACAAGCATTTTAAAGTGAGGGAAAAAAGAGAGAAAAGTACCTTTTGTATTTTCTTAAGGAGGCAGTAAAGCAAAGTGGTTAAACACATGGGCCTTGGAGTCAGAAAAACCTGGGTTTGAGTCCTCCCCTTAGGCAAGTTACTTAACCTCTCTGGGACTCAGTTTCCTCATCTGTAAAAGGGGAATAATAACAGTACCTACTTCATAGAGTTGTTGGGAGGATGAACTGAGATAATGATAACATAAAAGTATTTAGCACAGTGCCTGGCATTCATTCATTCATGTCCATAATTACTGATGGAGAGCCTATTAGAGGCCAGGTCCAAGGTTAGGAATTTCATATACATCAGTAATAAAACAGAAAATCCCTGCCCTTATGTTTACCTTCTACAGGGAGAGACTGACAAACATAGTAAGTAGTTACAGCAAGTAGGAAACAAGAAGTGCGAAGGGGAGTGGCTGCATTTAAAACATGGTGACTGGGGAAGCTTTGCTGAGACAGTGGTGTTTGAAAGACTTGAAGGAGAAAGAAATTAATCAAAAGGGTCCCAAGGGACAAGTGCTCCTCCCAGTGGGGACAGTTAAAGCAGAGCCTGAGGCTTCATCTTTCCTGGGAGCAGCAAGGCGGCCCGTGTGCCTGGAGCAGAGTTAGCAAGGGGAGGGGAGGGGCAGGGAACAGGAGCCGAGGATAGAAATGACAGCAGCCGACCTGTGGGTTTGCAGACAAGTGGAAGGACTTGGGCTTTCCCTCTGAGACAGCCGAAAGCTGAGGAGGATTTGGAGGTGACTATTCCACAAGCTCTGTTAGCTATTAATACCAATGGCTACTAAACTTAACATATAAAAATTGTTAGGCAATATACGCCGCTATAAACCAGTGATAAAACAGTGATAAAAAGCAGAGCGTCTGGCAGAGTGGATTACATGGCCGCCTGCATCTGTCAACACTGAGTGAGCTGTCCACTCAAGACCTGTGCACTCACTGTAAGCAAATTATACCTCAATTAATGAAAACGGGTTAGGAAAGAGGCAGTGACTTTTACAAAGTAATAATAAAGGTTATTTGCATAGCGCTTTACAGAGCACTTTAAAAAAATGATCTGCCTAGCAACCCTATGAGACAGTCCCGCCGTTTTTCATTCTTAGATGATTAAAGAGCGAGGAGCCGAAGTGAAGTGTTGTCCAAGGTCACCAGCTAGTAAGTTGGTGCTGAGATCCAGTCCAACCTCCTACCACATACATGGGCTGTGATGCCGCCACAAACACTCGCATGCAGTTAATAATGGTGACAGCGTTGCGGGTCACTCAAGGCCTCTGAGTCTCAGTGAACTCATCTAAAATTTCATCATCACCCTAAAGGACCACCCATGGTTCTCCTGGAGCACTCGGAATGGGAGACAGCGTAGGATTAGAGGCAGAGTTGTGGGGACAGCCAGGCAGAACTGGGTTGGAATCTGGCCTTATCACTCATATTGGACATTCGTGAAGTTATTCCTTCTTAGAGACTTATGATTTGCTACACAGCAGGTGATAATAACCACCCTGTAGGTTTGTTATGAAGAGAGCTACTGTCTCAAGTGACTGATACATAGCATGCCTAATTATTCCTCAATTCAAAATGCTTTTGCTTTTAAAAATTCACTCTTTACATGGTAGAGATCAAGCTTTACTCAAAGCAGATACATACCCGAAATGAAAGTGCCCTGCCATTATTACGAACAGAAAAGGATTTCTCTTCCATTGCCTAGAAAGACATAACAACCTGCTTTAGGACACTGGCAGGAAAAGCAAGCTAATAAACATAAACATAGACTTAAACACGTTTTTCTGAAAGCTTACATTTGCCGACCTTTAAAAGCTTCCTAAAAATAACATCCACCATCTTGTCGATGTCTGAAATCCCCTTTCACAGAGAATGTTCGTTCTTCCTCACCCACCGCCTTTACTCAGCTGTCTTCTGCCTCTTCATTAACCCCACTCCTCACCCTGCCCCCCAACTTCCTGCTGGAGCACTTCTCTACGACTAAAGCTTCAGCAAGACCTAGGGTGCCAACCCAGGTCACACCCTGACCATCCCCGGACTCCACTCCCGACTGCCAGTGAGTAACAGGTTGCCGCTGGTCCCACCGACGAAGTAATGAAAATAACTACTGACATGCAACACACGATGAACTGAGAATACTGACGCTGAATGAAAGAACACAAAAGAGCACGCACTGCATAATCCATCTGCGCAGTTTTGTGAAACTAATCTATGGGGACAAAGCAGTGGTTGCCAGGGGACAGGAGCATGGCAATGGGGCAGGAAACACTTTTGGGGTGATGGGTAATGTTCACTAACTTTACTGTGGTGATAGCTTCAGTGTACACATAAACCAAAACGTATCAAATTGCCATTTTAAATATGGTCCTCCCTCCTGATCTGCAGGGGATACATTCCAAGACCCCCAGGGGATGCCTGAACCTGCAGATAGCACCAAACCCTACATATACTATGTTTATGCTTTTTCCTATACACCCACACCGATGAGAAAGTTTAATTTATAAAGTAGGCAGTTTCAAAGACAGGTTCATTCTTACTGTAGATCTTAGCAACCGCCCCATGGCTTTTTTTTTCTTTCCTTTTTAAGTCAAGAATGTTCACCTCTTCACGTAAAGGAAGCTTCTCTTTGGCGTGTCTGAATGGCCAGCATCACGACACTAGCACAATGGGGCCAACAGTAAGTGAAATAGGGTGACCCGACCACCAGCACTGTGACACCGTGACAGTGGGTCTCATGAGACAGCTAAGTGTCTATGGCAGGAGCAGCATATGCAGCCAGCTCTGTGTTATCTAAGATCCCTCTCTCTGCTCCCAAATATGTACCTTTTACTTCAAACAGGCCAGAGCCCAGCACCTGCTATGCTCATTTCCACTTCCAGTCTTTGCTTATGACATCTTCATCCCACTCCATCTCTTCTTCCCCAAACAAATCCAGCAAACTTCAAACCCTGGTGAAACTTCCTTCCAGAGGGTTCTCCAAATAGCTCACTTCCCTCTCCACCCACTATCTGGCCCTTTAGCACTTAAGTGCTGTACAATGCAGCACCCAATTTCACCGTTAAGTTGTTTCAGTGTGCCAACATTATGACTCCAAACAGAAGGCAGCTCCCTGTACATTAGGCATGTGTATGTATATGAATGTACCTGTGTATGTGTATGTTTAAAAAGAGATCCATACATGCACACATATACATATATAAACAAAAAAGCTGAGCACAAATGGGTGCTTAGTTCTTACCTTTGAATTCTCTGTACTTCTTTTAGACTTTCCACTCTCTAGAAGCAGAAACATTGAAAAGGTATTACTGTAGGATTCACTCATATGTATATCATAGCATCATTTTATGAGACTCTAGCTTGTCTAATATCAAATAATTCAAACAAACAAAAAAGGTGAGACCATATGCTATCTCATGGACTGTCATCTCTCTCTTTAAAAAAAAAAAGAAAAATATTTTTTTTATTGATATTTACAGAAAGAGGAGAGGAGAGGAGAGGGAGGAGGACAGGGAGAGGAAGAAAAAGAAACATCAATTGCTGCCTCCTGCATGCCCCTGACAAGGGATAGATGCCGAAACCCGGGCATGAGCCCTGACTGGAAATGGAACCAGCAACAATTTGGTGCCCAGGATGACACCTTAACAACAGAGACACATCGGCCAGGGCTGGATTGCCATCTCTTTAAATCTCAAAACAATTCTTGAGCTGTAGAAGCAGCAAACTGGAAGTTATCATGTTATAAATGTATCTAATAAGTGATAATATTCAGTACCAACAGGGAACTCATCTGATAATCTAGTGTATGTTACTGCCAGAGATGCCACATGGCCTGATTTTTCTAACTATCTAGGGAATTATGTTTGAAAACAGGTCACTATTTGAAATAAATACATATGAGATCTAGTTACATACATGGAAAAATTAACAGCCTAGCAAGAAGTGTTAAGATTGCCAATGGCTTCTTTCATGGAACAAAGAGGGCACCTGGGCCTTATTTTTACTTAAGATACTCTTCATGGGGAAGGCAGAATCCCACACTCCCTGCAGGAAGGGAGAGGGTTTCAGAAGAAAAAGAAGGAAAAGAGTATTTCCTGCTCAGGAAACGGTCACTGTGCATGAGGAACCTGGATGAGGGGACGGTGCAGAATTAAACCACACCATCACACAAATGCAGTCTTTCTGCAGGTCTTCTAGTTTGGGTTAGAGTTTTGACAAAGTAAAAAAAAAGTGTAAATACAATAAATATTATTCATATTTATTAATAAATAAAATGCAATAAATATTAATTTGTTTTTAAAGACAAACCTGACAGTTAATAAAAGAGGTGGTAAATATAAATTGGTCAGTCAACATAGGAAAAAAGTGCAACCTAATAACAACAGCGAACACACTAACATTCACACACACAGTGCTGGCTAGGACATGGTGATATGGGCACTATTCCCACATGTTTTCTGATAGGAGTAGATAAACCCACACAAGTCATTTGGGAAGGAACTAAAAATATGCATCAACAGACGTATTCAGATCCTTTGAATCAGGTATTCCAATTCTGGGAACCCATCCTAAAGGAAGTTCTATATCTGAAAAAAGTTTTACGAACAAAGAAGTCCAATGCAGCAATATTTATAATACCATCAAAATGAAAATATGCCTCCTTAAAGGGAGAGGTTAAGTAAATTATACTACCCATTTAACGGATATGTGATAAGTATAAAATATCTTTAAGTGAACAGGGATGCTTAAAGTGGTACCTGTAACCGTGAATTTTAAATGTTCTCCACTTAAGAAACAACCTTAGGTAAAACAACAATTACTAAAATTTTAACACTGGGTGTACCGGTAAGGAGAAATGACTTTTCTTTCTCCACCTTCTCCGTATTTTCCACTTTTCTTTAATGATTATATATTTTACCATAAAATAATGCTTAGATCGTGTTTGTTTTTACTTAGGAACCAAAAAGAATCGACCAAGCTGGGCAGTGAAGGAAAGGCTGGCTCCACCTCACGTTTACCTGGTCTCGTCTCAGGCTGGCTGCCTGCTGACACCGGGGGGACAGCAGTCTCCTGGCTCTCATCGCTGCTGAGGATGATCTTTGGTAACTGGGTACCAGCTTCTGGTGGAGATTTTATTTTCACTCTACAATCAAATAAGATAGAAGGGAAAGTTCAAGGTAATGCTTATGGACCTTTAAGTGTTGTACATTAGGCACGGCTTCAAGCTCTAAATTCATTATGTCAGGTAATCCTACGATGTAGATTCTATCACCTGCATCTTACAGATGCTGAAACGGAGGCTCAGGAAAGTTAAACACCTTGCCCAAGAGCAGGAAGCTAGTAAGGAGCTGGCGAGGATCCAGGCAGTCTCCCCCCCACGGCTGAAATTCTTGGCAACCACGCAATTCTGATGTACATTCTTTCCCACTAAGTATCTGTGATATGGTCAATAAATTGGTGTACAAGGGAAACAGAATGAGATAAAACCAATGAAATGGCCTGGCTGTGGTGGCTCAGTGGTTGAGCACTGACCTATGAACCAGGAGGTTAGGGTTGGATTCCCATTCAAGGCACATGCCTAAGGTTGCAAGCTCAATCCCCAGTAGGGGGCATGGAGAAAGCAGCCAATCAATGATTCTCTCTCATCATTGATGTTTCTGTCTCTTCCTCCCTCTCCCTTCCTCTCTGAAATCAATAAAAATATATTTTTTAAAAAAATAGTGTCTGCCTAGAAACAGTGACATTAGGGATTGCAGGACAGAAGTACCTCTCCCAGATGTACCAGATCACCTGCATGGCTTTTTCAATCTGCATGTGAGATATGCCCACAGGATTTTGAAATGAGCTAACTCAGCCTTAAGGATCCTTTTTATAGTGAACACTAGTGGCCCGGTGCATGAAATTCATGCACATTAAAAGGGGATTAATTAGAGGAAATATTTTAATATTTCCTCTCTCATCATTGATGTTACTATCTCTCTTTCTCTTTCTCTCTCTCTCTCTCTCTCTCTCTCTCTCTCCCCCCTCTCTCTGAAAATCAATCCTATATAATAAAACCCTAATATGCAAATCGACCAAACGGTGGAACGACCAGTTGCTATGACACACACTGACCACCAGGGGGCAGACGCTTAATGCAGGAGCTAAACCCTGGTGGTCACTGTGCTCCCACAGCGGGAGCATCACTCAGCCAGAAGCCGGGCTCACAGCTGGTGAGTGCAGTGGTGGTGGCAGAAGCCTCTCCTGCCTCCGCTGCAGGTGGGCGGTAAGGAGCGAGGGGTCACAGACTGTGAGAGCCCTGGACTGTGAGAGGGATATCTGACTGTCGGCTTAGGCCCAATCTCTGGTGGGTCGGACCTAAGCCAGGAGGCAGACATCCCCCTAGGGGTCCCAGACTGCGAGACGGTGCAGGCCAGGCTGAGGGACACCACAACCCCCCTCCCCACAGTGCACAAATGTTGTGCACCGGGCCTCTAGTAAAAATATAAAGAACAATGAAATGTTCAAGTGAAGTCCAGGGAACTTGGAGCTGCATCTCCTCCCTTTTCCCTCCTGAACAGACCCCACTGCTGTTACCCACCCTGCACGAGGGCCAGTGAGTTTCCAAGCCTGAGTGACACGGGACCTAAACTGGATGATCCAGCTGAAGGGAAGCACTTCTAGTTCCGCCTGGGGAGAAGCCTTCCTGTCCCTCCCTTACTGAGATGGGACTAAGAACCCACTTTACGGAACACACCACACCATTTCGTGCTATTCTGCCTTGGCATTTACGTGGGAAATGTTCTTCCCTTCCTTATTCACTGGTGAAGTCTCCGCACTAGAAGGTGGGTTGGGCCCCAGTTACCTGAAGCCTTCCCTCTCCCCCATCAGTGCCTCGGGCCCACCCTTCTGCTTTGCTGTGATCACTGGAACGGCCGCTGTCTCCCTCGCCTGTGGTTAATCCCCAGCACCCAGCAGTCTTTGGCAAATGGTAGATGCTCAGTGAATGTTAGCTTAATGACCAAATCCCCCCAACTGTACTCTAGGGTTTTACTGAAGGAATTATTAGAATTACTTACTCACTTCTGGAGAAGTTTAGGATTAGAAGGGGGACAGAGACAAACTGTTTCCTGAAAATACAGTAATTCACATCTTCATCCTAAGAAAGGAAGACCCAATTATACATCGCCTTATTCATTCACACTAGAACAAGGAAAAAACGTTTTCAGGAACAAGACAAACAAGGGGCCCACCCTCCACTGCAAACAACACAACCGTGGGTGTACTGATACCCGGGAGCCCCGGCAGCCGCCACCTCAAGAAAAAAGCCCACCAACAAAAGCAGTGCTCCCACCGGTGTCCTGAGCTGTAGTGAAGAGTGTGGTCAGTCACGCATTCAATGCTCACCAGGGAAGAAGAGAATCCGTCATTTTTGGAACGGTCGAGGCTGAATCCAATCTAAGAGGGGTAAAGAGCGTAGAAGTAAATGCCCACATGATGGCCTGGCCTCCTCTCGGTTTTCATGGCGTTCATTTGCAAGAAGAATCACTAATTACTAAAATTATTCACGAATTACAATTTAAATGTTAAAAATGAAATTATCTGGTGCCTGTTCACAAGTTTTATTTTCTCCATATTCTGACACTTCTCACTCAGGGATGGGGCGAAGCTTTCAGCTAAGAAACAGAGAAGGTCAGCCCTGCTGTCCGGGAGACACTCACAGTCAGGTCCTTGTCTGTGGCTCCTTCAGTCACCGAAAGGCTGACGACATTGACCACCATGGACCCGTCCTTGAAGAACCCAAAGGTGTTTAGATGAACCTTATGCCTCACGTCATCCTAAAAAGATTTGCAGAGGTGGAATTAGTAATAGGGAGAAGTTAACTTGATTATTTAACCTATATGTTTGCTTGAAAAACTAGTCTAGTTTCCTGCTAGCTAACCAATGTTTCCATATCCTTAGGAAAATATACAGCTGTGGTACCTGATCTTGTTTCAAAGCTGAAGATGATTCATCAGAAATGCATAAGATATCAACAGTTTTGCAGAAGGAAGCACATAATGGATGCAATTCATTTTGACACATTTTTAACAGTCCTGACTAGGTGGTCAGTTGGAATGTGAATTCCAGGGAAGGAGGAACAATGTTTTAGTCATCCTCACATACTGCCTGGTAGTCCAAGGCCCAGCATCTAGTAGGCACTCAAAAAACATACTGGCCCTGGCTGGTGTGGCTCAATTGGTTGAGTGTCGTCCCTTGCACCAAAAGGTCACCAGTTCGCCCTGGCCGGTTTTTATCAGCAGTTAGAGTGTCGCCTCACTGACCAAAAGGTCTGGGATTCTATGATTGATGTTTCTCCCCCCCATCCCTTCCTCTCTCTCCAAAATCAACAAAAAACACATGAAGAAAAACATGCTGAAGGGGATGGGAGGGGGGGGGGGAGTAGCCAAAACTGCTCTAAGGATACATTTTTATAAACCTGCTTATAAACTGTGTGCAACTGGCTCCTCCCACTGCAGGCTGACCGGGCACCCCTGCACATTACTTTTCTAACCTGTAATTCATTGTTTTTACATAGGTTCCTTTGAATCTAAAAGTTATGCTATACGATGGGTTTCAGGAAACAAAGCCTTATATGCAGAAGGAATCCCAGGAGCTTGTCAGGTGGAGACAGGATCTTTCGGACACAGGATAATCCTGAGGTTTGTTGAAACTGAACGACCTGGGCAAATGCTTCGCACACCTGCTTGAAATTGTCTCAAAGGGGTGATTTCAATCCCAACTAAGTCAATAAATTTTAAGGCTGATAAAGACTAACTGGAAATTTAGGCAAACAGTCAGTCAGGAGGGTCTATAGGAGGAGTTAGGGCGTATGTGGAAGTTCTCCCACTCTAGTAACTGAGAGACCCCTAAGGGAAGAATTGTTTATAATAGAGCTCTATGGTTCTCCTTCCCTTAATTTCCTTTTCCCTTCTATAAATACCCCTCCACATCTTGGCACAAAGGCCAAGTGTGCATGTGGCCTGCCATGTCTGCATGCATGGGGCCGCAACCCTTTCTTTTTCCTGAATAAATCCTTTCTGGTGAGGAAGCACCTAAGCCAGTGGTTCTCAACCTGCGGGTCGCGACCCCTTTGGGGGTCGAATGACCCTTTCACGGGGGTCACCTAAGACCATCCTGCATATCAGATATTTACATTACGAGTCATAACAGTAGCAACATGACAGTTATGAAGTAGCAACAAAAATAATTTTATGGTTGGGGGTCACAACATGAGGAACTGTATTAAAGGGCCAGAAGGCTGAGAATCACTGACCTAAGCGATATTATTTTTCAACTGAGAAGGCCAACAGACCGTGGTGTTGTTAACAGAGTGAAATGCTCCGTCTCCGGGACCCCATCTTGTCGGGCCTGTGCTGCTCCCTGGCCCTCGGGCTAGTGGGTTCTGCTGACATACTAATCATTAGAGGGATTCTGCTGGGGCTTTAGTTTTTACAAAAACAGCTCCTTTCCATTTCCCCTTCCCTTGACATAAAAGAAGCCTAAGCTCTGTACTTCCTTAAGATGGATTTGAGGAACTACAGGGCCTCCATCCTCTTGATTGGCACCTGCTCCATCAATAAGCTTTTCCTTCCTCCAGACTCTGATGTTTTGAGTTTTGGCCTTTTGAAGTGTTGGGCAAGCGGACCATGGGCCCGTAACAGTATTAGTGAAGACTCTATAAAGACAGCCACGAGTTTCACATTGAGAATTATCTGCCTAAATCAAATCGCCTTCGCTAAGTTTGCAAGAAGCTAACAGTTATTACATAATTCCTAAATGCTAAGCACTTTTCTAAAACTTACATTTGGTTCTTCCTCAAATCTGATAGTCTTTTTTGACAGTGGTTTTGCTTCTTGCTCATATTTTTAAATTTCATCCTTTGTTTCTTCCCATTTTAAATATCGCTCTTTTACAACATACTGAGGTGTCCGGGGTCTAATCCTGCTCTTTGTCCTTGTCTCTGCTGATGTTCACAGCAGGGTGTTTCTTTGTGTGAGTGGTAATTACTCATTCCTAGACTTGGATCTTCTGGATATCAGAGACAGTCTAACTCAGCTGTTCTCAACCTGTGGGTCGTGACCTCTTTGGGGGTCGAACGCCCCTTTCACAGGGATCGCCTACAGCTTGTGCTGTCAACAGTGATCACCATGAACTTTTGGCCTATTCAATTCATCTAGGTTCAGCTCCATGGCCTAAACAAGACAAATAGCCTTTAATATCAGCTGTCATCCAATTGCTTGGTAAACCATTTGATTATTTAGATAAAGATACTCAGAGCCTTCACATTTGACTTCACTGTTATCTACCAAATCAAGTAGAGACATTTAAGTTTTAATGCTAACAGGTGTCATTTTAAGAAATTTAAAGACAAGCAGACAACCTGGTCTTCATCCTGCTTCTGCCATTGGCTCACTGCTCTGTTACCTCTCACCTACCTTGACTTTGATTTGCTTGTCTATGAAACTGAGACAGGTTGACAAATTAATCACCACTAGGCAATGAGCTAAAAGAGTAGCTTTGAGGACACCCCACTGTTAGGCACATCCCCTGAGCCATGCTGTCCAGGAGTTTTCCTAGGATGTGTCATGCTCCCCACTGCTGTCTGAACTTCTTGGGTGCTCAGGTCTCAGAGCTAATGCTTCATGGCCTTGAAGGAAGCGGGGGGGGGGAGTAGAGGGTAACATGGGGACAAGGACACATATGTAATTTCTTAATCAATAAAAAATATATTTAAAAAAAAATGAATAATTTATAAAGATACTTAGAATGATATGTCAGTGATATCTCAATAAAACTGAGAAAAAGAGAAAAAAAAAAAAAAAAAAAAAAAAAAAAAAAAAAAAAAGGAAGGAGCTGACCCCAACCCAGGGGATGAGGAGAATCTCAAAGTAGAAAGGCCATCACATTGTCCTCTCCAAACGCATTCACACAGAATATTCTAGAAAACCTATGTGAAGTTAAAATTCTGCCCTTCATGCCTAATAATATTCAACAAAAAATATTTTATCAAAATATAGACCCTCTTGGAAACAGCTGCATCCGTATGTCCTGTTTGGCCTCCTGCAATTCAGGCAAGGGCACTGCAGGTGTCCAGCCCAGGTGGACCTTTCACAGGGATCGCCTAAGACCATCAGAAAACACATATATAATTACATATTGTTTTTGTGATGAATCACTATGCTTTAATTATGTTCAATTTGTAACAGTGAAATTGGGGGTCACCACAACATGAGGAACTGTATGAAAGGGTCGTGGCATTTGGAAGGTTGAGAACCACTGCTCTAACTGCAAACACCAGCGGCCTAGGCAAGGCCATGGAACAGATCTTCAGCAGAACAATCAGAAACCACCCCTCGCACCACCACACACACAGCCAGTACACACATCTTACTGCCATTTTATTTCCTAGCCCACTCTTCCATTCAAGCAACATGGCTCTTTCAGAGTCCCATATTCAGGGCTGAGGACAGGGACACAGTTCTAGCTCCACCCCAGCCTCGTTCTAAGGCTTTGGCTCCTCCTCCTCCTCACCAGTTGTTAAAATCCAAGGCTCTAGGGTCCAAGTTTCTGCCATGCTTCAGGGCAGCCCTGACTTGTGTTCTTTTACCCACTGGAGCTTCACCTCCTTCTTGCCACCTTTTTTATTTTTTATTTTTGGCCCCTGGGCATTTTCCTAGGAGCCCAGCTATGCATTTAAAGCATGTTGGCCAGACTTCCAATTCCTGGTAGGATGGAGTAACGTGCAGCAAATTAGCATTCCCAGGGAGAAGCAGAAAAGCCAGCTAAGATAATAGAAGTCATTTGCTGAGAGACATCAGGGAACTGCGAGAGCATAAAAACCAGAAAAGCTAAGGTTCATGACCTTCCTCAGGACTGTGAGAGTGATTAGCCCCTACAGAAAGTGATTTGAGTGACTATTTTCTCAATTCTCCCAAGGGTGTTACATGGCTACTGCTATCTTAGATGTACAGAAAAGAAATTAATTCAACTACATAGGATGGATGTCTTAAGACATATGAAAAATAATGTAACTGGAGCCCTGGCCGGTTTGGCTCAGTGGATAGAGCATTGGCCTCTGAACTGAAAGGTCCCAGGTTTGATTCCTGTCAAGGGCATATGCCTGGGTTGTGGGATCGGTCCCCAGTTGGGGACTTGCAGGGGGCAGCCGATCCATGATTCTCTCTCATCATGGATGTTTCTTTATCTCTCTCCCTCTTCTTTCCTCTCTGAAATCAATAAAAATATTTTTAAAAATAATAATATAACTGGAGCCACTGAATAGTGGAGTAGGAGCTGCCACCCCAGGGGAACCGCTTTCTTGACATTGGTTCAAGTAATGATATTTTTGGATAGAAAACAAAGGCACAGGTAACACAGCAAAAACAGAAAAATGGGATTGCGTCAAACTGAAAAGCTTCTGCACAGCAAAGGAAACAATTACAGTAACACAGTGAAAAGGCAACCTACAGAATGAGAAAAATGTTTGCAAACCATATATCTGATAAGGGGTTAATATCCAAAACACATAAGGAACTCAAACAACTCAACAGCAAGAAAACAAATGACATGACTTTAAAATGGACACAGGATCTGAATAGACATTTCTCAAAAGACATATAAATGACCAACAGGTATGTGGAAAGATGCTCAACACCCCTCATCAGGAGGGAAATGCACCTCATACTTGTTACAATGGTTACTGTCGAAAGACAAGAGTTGATGAGGATGTGGAGAAAAGGGAACCCTTCTACACTGTTGATGGAAATGTAAATTGGAACAGCTGGTATGGAAAACA